GGACCCAGAGGGACACAGTCAGTGACTCACACACCGAAGTCTGAGCTCCATGGAGAAGCACTGAACCTTCCATGGGAATGAGCTGGACCAAAAGGAAGACAGGCATTTCCAACTAGGCAGCATCTCCGGGTCCTCCCCACGGCCCTCTGAGGCAGGGCCAGCATTACAGAATGCCGTGGAAGGATCTTCGTGATGCCCAAGAGATCTGCGGGACCCAAGGCTATGGCTGGGCCCAGGGTGCTCATGGCCTCTACGGGAGCTTGTTTCCTTCACCCTCTCAACCAGGACCTACTTGATCTACCACGAATGTTTGTTGATGGGCTGATTTCAACCACATGATTATAATCCCTGCACTGGATGTTGCCACACATCCGTGGTCTCATCTGAGCATCCTTCTGGGCCCTGGAGATAAGCACTGTGTTCTTCCCATTTCACAGGGTGGGAAAACTGAGTCCATGTCCGAGACAATGGGCGACTTGCCTGGGCTCACAGCTACCATGCAAGGAAGCAGGGGCGGCACCCAGCCCGGCTGCCTCTCCGACCACGCAGGGCCCGCAGCGCGGCCCTGAGACACACGGCGCCTTCCAGACAGCCAGGGAGCGTCAGAACATCAGCAGCGAGGTTACCAGGTACACAAAGGAGAGAAAAGCGTGTAAACCTAATGGCTGATGCCAGAGTGTCTCTGAAGGATGGAAGTGATTTGGCTGAGAAAAGTATTTTGACAAACTCCTGGAGTGGAAGGTGTTTGCTGAAATCTGCATGTTGTCTGATTCCAGCTTCGGAAGGGAAGGCATGCTAGCAGGAGAGGAAGACGAGCTCCAGAGCCATCTGGAAGGCAGAGGGGACAGCGGACAGTGGTGAGAGGGGAAAGAAGTAGGTGCTGAGCAGTGGGGACCCCGTGCCTGGAGCCCTTCCCAAGATCTTCAATATTGCCTTGAAATGCTCCGGTGATGTGGGGTGAGTGCTTGCTGCTGTGGTTTTTGAGGAAACCAAAGCAGGGGCTGAAGTTCAAGTTGGGGTGTTTATGATGCGAGACAGAGCAGCATGCAAGGAGGCTGGTGCCCACGACAGTTCGGAGCCCAGAAATGCTCAGGATTTCCAAGACACCCTGAAGAGGGCTTGGACGTTCCCTGTGTTGGCAAACTGGGATTCCAGGCAATTCCTCCAGCTCTTGGGGCGCAGACAGCCCCAGCAGACTCGGGGCTGCACAAGATCGGCCCCAACCACAGACACGATACAGAAAGCATCCCCTGCTTGGCTGGAACCCTGGACAATTCTCTCAGTTTAAAGGGAGTCTGTCCTGCTCTCTGGAATGAAGCATATGAGCAATTTCAAGATGTGCCTTCATGCTCTGGGAGCTCAGGGTGGTTTCTGAGCTGTCTTCCTGCCCCTTTTGACCCTTGGGTATTTTGTAGGAAGGCACCTGGCCCTCTGCTTGGCAGCCAGCCCACGAGCAGGCTCCCCAGCCAGGGCAAAGGGAGCCTGAGAGACAATTACTCCAGAGATACCAGGTGGTGGGGTGGTGGCACTCAGAGGTCACTCATCCCATAAACATGAAGACAGAGCACTGATGGAGGAGGAGCAGGTGACTGTGCTGGCAGAGGCGGGGACAGGACCTCGGAGTCCCTCTGCCAGGTTCAGGAGATGGTGTCATCTTTCTGATTGGCACTAGAGCTCCCTCTCCTCATCTCTCCTGTCATCTCCGGGGGGACACAGTGTGCCAAGAGTCCCCAGGTAAGAGCGGGCCTGGGAGGGGCTGGCCACCCCAGGGCTTCCTTCCCAGGCACGTGGCTTCGTTTCTGGTGGATGCCTGTGGTGGGTAGGAGCCTGTGGGCACATCAGACGTCCTCCCTTATCAAGAGCCCACCCAGCACAAAGCACAGCTTTCTCACAAAACCTATGCCTGCTTCTTCCCCTGCTGCTCTCCTTGTTTCTATTATTTCCACGCTCTTTTTCTATGTTCTCAGTGTTTCAGGGCAGGCCTGTCCAGGAGCCCATGAGTGGGTACTCAGCTCCGTTCATGAGTGTCTGTGGTGTGGATGGGTTGCATCGATGGCCCTGATTTTATGACCTCCCTACGTGTGTCCTTTGCTCTATAACCGTGCACCCCCTCCCACTCTGACAGTGCACTTGGCCATGAGCATTACTTTGGCCAACAGGATTTTAGCTGATTTGAAGCTTGAAAAACTGCTTGTGTCTTCCACTTCCTCTCTGGGACCTCTGTGCTCACTAAGAGAATGTGCCTGAGCTAGCCTGCTGGAGGATGAGCCCGTGGAGCAGAGTTGAGGCGAGCCTTGATCAGCCAGCGGACCACCAGACATGCCGGAGAACTTCTGCTAAGACAAGAAGCATTGCGAGGGCAAGCTCTATCAAGAGGAACAGAAGTGGGGCGCCTGGGTGGCTCAGTTGGTTGAGCGACTGCCTTCGGCTCAGGTCATGATCCTGGAGTCCTGGGATCGAGTCCCGCATCGGGCTCCCTGCTCGGCGGGGAGTCTGCTTCTCCCTCTGACCCTCCCCACTCTCATGTGCTCTCTCTCATTCTCTCTCTCTCAAATAAATAAATAAATAAAATCTTTAAAAAAAAAAAAAAAGAGGAACAGAAGTTCCCTGCTGGCCCATAGACTTGGGGACGATAAATGCTATTGTCTTAAGCCAATGAGTTTCAAGGTGGTTTGACATGCTGCATTATTACGGCAATTGTTGCCTCCTGCAGGGCCCCTGTTCCCCAAATTACGTACGTGCCAAGTGCCAAACCACCTGCTAGGTGATAGGGTGTGTTTTGTTATGCTCAGAGGTCCCAGAGCAAGAGGGTCGGTGTTCAAATCCTAGTGCCACCGCTTGCTAGCTTTGTCCTTGGTCAAGTTAACCCTGCCTCCGTTCTTGTTTGTTTTAAAATGGGAATAATAATGTGATCTACTTCCCATGGTTGAGAGGCTTTATGGTCTAATACATGTGAATTGCTTAGAATGATACAGTTCTCAGTCCAGGTGAGTATGCCCGTCCCTCTTCCCCTTCCCCCCACTTCCTGGGGGGCTGAAATGCCAGTCTGGGGCTCCCCTGTCTCCCCATCACCTGGCACAGGGCCTAGCACAGTAAATATCCATTGTTTGCTGAAGTCTAGAGGGAAACTCCACTTCTTATTAGCACAGATGCAAATTTCATGATTCTCTTTGAATCTAAGGCCAGTGACATCTTTGTTCTCTGTATAAAGCACCATGTAATATTTATCATTGGATTTCTCCCTCACTGCCTACCATGCTGTGACATAAACCTGTTTCACTGTCAGGCATTTACACACACGGCCCGTTCCAACTGTGCTTAACTGACGCCTTTCCTGAGAGTTCTTGCCGATGAAGCAGGAGGGATGGAACTAGAGAGTTCGCCGCCTTCCGCCGATCCACAACCTGGCTACTTTTGGGACTCAGAGCCTCACGTTAGTTTTGCTCCAGAGCCTCCACCATCTGACAATCAGCCTCCTTCTCTGCAGCCTGACTTCTGGATGGTTTGCCTCCCCACGGGCCCCAAGAGAAGTCCCCTGGAACACGACCCACTGATGTCCCTTTGTGCATGAGCGGGATGGGAAGGAACTCTGCTCTGGTTCCAGTCCTTCTCTTGTCGCCTGCGGTTGTCAGATGGGTGAGGGCTGCTAACCAGGGTCCCCCCTGGAGGGGAACAGGGCTCATGTCCCACCTCCACTGCTATGCTCTTGAAAATTTTGTGACTATGGGCAGTCTGCTGAAGAACACCTGCAGCTCCCATCGTATTTTTAAAGGCCTCCAGAACCCCAAAACCGAGAACCACAGCCATGGTTAGGTCACCTCAGCCCTGTACGCCTCAGTTCTTTCGCGTAAACAGTGAAGTAATGAGAATGTTCGATTCCACGTTTTTACAGGAATGTTGTAAATGAGAAAATGGATCCCAACCATACACTGCTAGGCAAATAGAGACAATTATTAATATCCCATTTGTTAATTCAGGAAATACTTAGGTTGTTTGGATTTTTTAAAACGCGCAAATTATATTAAACTAAAGACTATATAATTCTCGATTTTTTTTCTCAGATGTGGACATTAGTGAAATTTAGGTCAGAGGATAGGATTTGGATAAGAAAATGGACAGAGTTCTCAGAATAATGACAGCAAATGCTACTATGAACCTCATATGAATCATCTAATTTAATCATTATAACAAGCCCAGAAGAAGGTTTCTATCATTTCCTCCTACGGATGAGGGTCCCGATGCTCAGGAAGGTCAGAATAAGGTCGGGCAGCATGTGAAGGCAGCATGGTCCACCCAGCCCCTCCTGCGTAATGGGTGCTGTCAGCTGTCTCCTTGTACCAGAAGAATGCATTGTTCATTCCACGTTGTCTGTCTCTGGGCAAAATGGGATGACATTTCAGGGCCCTGTAGGAAAGCCTCTGATTCTGAGTGCTTTGCATCTGGCCCAGCACCTCGCCACTCAGGGGATTTAATGAAAGTGGCCTAAGACCAGTCCCCAGCCGCACTGTGGGCATTGTGTTTCTCTCCCATAAACTGGGCATGCTCTGTCTCTTCCCAGGGTGGATAGCACCCAGCCCTGTGCCGGCAGGACACGGCTGCTCATTCTGCACTTGCACTTTTCCCCTTCTTGTGAGTGTTAGGACAGCAGAACCGGGCAGTGAAGAAGAGAGGATGTAGGGAGAGAGTCACATAGACCTAAACCGCTAAGAGATTAGGTTCGTGCTGTCTTGTGGTTGGGACCACCCAAGAGGCAGCAATAGGGAGACATCGCCTAGAAGTGAGCAGACCTGGGTCTTATTCTGCTCTGTCCTGGCTTTTCCAGGCTCTCTGTGTGATCTGTGGCCCCACTGTGGGCTGTTGGGAAGATAAAGCAATACAGGGTGTCCAGGGGCACCTGGCACAGCGCCTGCAGAGAGGAATGGCCCTAGGTCCCGGCGTGCCCTGCAGTGCTGACCCCATGAAGAGGCTGGAGCTGTGTGGGAAAGGCCATGGGCCCCTACCTTTCTCGGCTCCTGCCTGGTCATGCTTCTCAAAGAGCAGGTAGCGCGGGCTCTCAGGGAGAAAGGGCAGGCTCACCAGCTGCACAAAGGCGGGGACAGCAATCATTCCAAACAGGTATGGCCAGGTGCTCTCCTGAAGGGAGAAAGAGGCGGCCAATGAATGGATGTGGCCTCCAGTCATCCTGCTGGGGCGGGCCCCTGGGCCAAACAGCGTTGGCCGTCAGCAGAAGTCCCTCCTGCAGTGTGTGATCCCCACCAAGAGGCTGAACAACGGAACGGACACAGGTTTAGCACCAGCCCCACGTGTATGACATTCTCCATGCACGAGGTCGGTCAGTTCTCAGAGCCATCTGTGAGATGGTGACCTGGGGGGCTCAGCGGGGCCAAGGCCACTCAGGGATATCAGGGCTGGTGGATGCTACGACCCCTGGGGCATCATGGTGAGCCTTCCTGTTTGTGCGGCCTTGGAAACCACACTCATGGCCCCTGGAATCTCCGTCTCATCCCCTGTGGGCCGGGGACAGTCCCAGCCACTCCACAGGCTGTCCTGAGAGTACGATCGGATAGTGCTTGGGCTGTGGGGCCTGGCACACAGCAGGTGCACAGAAGAAACTACTGTTTTCATTGGTGCCAGCCCCCAGACGCCTCCGAGGCCCACAAGACCTGACCCATCTCGGTCCTGTCGGAGGACATCCAGGACAGTGGCTGGAGCTTCCCTGATTCCGGCAGGTGAGTGTGGTGGGGCTGGGGCACAGCGGGCCCCTTAGGCAGGGGAGTCTTCCCTGTCCAGCGGCTGGGAAAGCAAGCAGGGCCCTACAGCCCGCGCCACTCAAGGGGCATTTGGGCTACCTCAAGAGGCACCCATCACCTTAATGCGCCCACAGCACCAGGAGCTGCTCCTATGCTGGTCAGAGCAGCCTTCTTCTTGAGCTGCTTTTTTTTTTTAAAACCCCGTTTACAAATGAAACTCTCACTGTGCCTCTGCAAGAAAAGAATGCCAATGGGAGGCAGTTCTGATGGGGATAAAGCAAAACGCTCAATGCCAAATTCCTGACATGTTTTATTTCCTCACAAAGCGAAGGAGGCCCGCAAGGAGGCATGTTCAGACCTGAAAAGACTTGACACAATGGGCCGTTGGGCCGAGGCTCAGGTGGCTTCGGGTTGGGTTTTGAGCGCCCTCAGGGGCAGAACTTCCCTCTAGTGTTCTCCCAGGGCTGGCTCCCTAAGGAGGCCCCTGAGGCCAGAGACCCCAGTAAGTTCCCAGTTCCTGGAAGGCTCGAGGCTCGAGCAGGCAGGGACCCCTGAAGCACGGAGCGGGCCAACTGACTCACGGAAGGGCAATGCCCAGGACCCGATTTTCAAGAGACCTTCGATCCTACTCCCTTTTCCGTGTAGAACAATGATTTATATTCACAAAACTCCTCTGATGTCACCACTGTGCTGGGAGGAACCGGCTAGGCCAACGCCAGCTTGGGGTTTGGTAGGGAACTCCAAGTGAGAGACCAGGGGGAGGTGGAGGGCAGACTGGTGGTTGCTGGGGGCCGGAGGGAGCGGGGCCGGGGACAGTGACTGCCCCCGGGGATGGGCTTCCTTTTGAGGGATAATGACAATATTTGGGGTTAGAAAAGAGCCATGAACGTGCAACTTTGTGAATATACTAAAAACCACTTTAGAAGGGTGGATTTTATGGTAGGTGAGTTATAGCTCTGTTTTTTTAAAAGACCGAGGGAGAAAGGAAAATGGCATGCTTGTAAGTGGGATTTTCGCTATGCCTACTTGGTGTGCGTGTTTTGTTGGTGATTTTGTTTTTTCTTAGAGTTTACCTGCTGCCTCAGGAAGAGCAGAACAGAAAGCTGAGGGGAAAGACAAGGGAATTAACCCAGTTAAGCTCCTACTGTGTGCCAGGCGTGGTGTGAGCTTGTCACACAATTGTCTCATTTGTCACACAACTGTCTCATGTCACCTCCTGGCAGCCAGGGAAGCCAGGGCTGTTGCTGCATGTTCCAGATGTGGAGACAGCAAAGCCCGGGCGGAGGCCTGCCAGCCAGGAGCTGTGCAGATGGGTATCATGCCAAGCCCCCCAGGCGCCCCTGCACCTTAACAGAGGGGCGCTTCCAGGGGTGAGATCCTGGGAGCTGCCAAAGGGCGGAAGGAGGAGTGGGGCAGGAAGGACAGTGCTGGAGTAGGAACAGCATGTACGACTGAGGCCTGATCTGCCCAGACTCAGCGGGAAACAACCACTGTGGCGAGAACGCAGGGCCAGGCGACGCCAGAGACATGGGAGCTCGGGTGGAGGCTGATCAGACACGGTTCTGCTGCCATTCCATGGCACGTGGACGTGGCTCCGAGGACCACCAGGAGCTGGGGACGGGTCTGCACACCTTCCCCTTCCTTGAATCGACAGTCCAGCATTTCTGGTCTCATGCTGTCAGGGACTACAGTGCATGGATTTCTATTATTACTGACAAGCCAGGTCTGTGGTAGAGCCTTTGATCCGTGATGTCGTAAAGGTGAGGACACGTGGAATCCTTCCTAAGGACATCACTCTGGTGGCTGTGGTCTGGTCCCCACCTCTGGAGAAAAGCGGATACTATTGACCTCAAGGGGGGCCACCCCTAGCTCAGGATGCTAGTGGTGTCTGCATGGGGAAGGAGAATGGCAGGAATGTCCAGAGTAGAGCTTGGGGGACATTTTACTCAGGAGGAGCCGAGCTTAGCCCACAGTGGAGTTCATGAACTTGGTTCCTATAAAATCCCAAATCCCACAGCTGTCTGGATTTGAGTCCTGCCTCTATCCCCCGTTCTCTGTGGCCTTGAGCAACCTAACTGCTTATGTTCAGTCTTCCTTTCTGTAAAATGGGGATAACACTAATGCCTGTTCACTGGTCATCAGGAGCGTTACAGGAGTTAACGGATATATCAAGTGCTCAACAGGACCCTGCTCACTGTAAGCATTCAACAGGAGACAGTGGTTCCTATTATCAGCTGTGGTGAGAAGCCTGTTACATAGATTATCTCCTTGAATTTCCACACTAGCCCTCTGAGGTACAGACCATTATCACGCTCATGTTTCAAAAACATTCACTGCCCCACAGAGAGGTTACCCGGTTCATCGAGGCCACAATTCAGTCATGGAGACATCCATGGAGACATCAGGTCTTGGGTCTGAGAACCAGAGTTCTGATCCATGGAGACCCAGGGAGGGATCACAAGGGCATCAGACCTGGGATCTGACTTTCTTCCATTGCCTCAGGCCAAAGAATCCTCAGTGACCCTTGACAGTGGTCCTGGGCATTTGGTCCCAGCACAGAGCCAAGGACTCAACATTTTGTACCACAGTTAGGACTTCTTGCCTCCTGGGGGCAGAGAGCGTGCCAGCACTGAGTATCTGTGGGAGGAACGAGCGAGTGTGTACCCTGATCCCTTCACACAGAGCCCTTGGCAACTGCGGAGGATAGCCTCTAACCTTCTTTTTTAGGAGCTGTTCACAACAGAAGGTGTGTTCAAAAGAACATGTATTACTCGCCTAACACAGGACAACAAGGTACTATGGAAAGTCAATCTCAGATGAGTCTCTATAATGCTGGTTAGAGCCTCCTACGTTCAGTAAAGCATGAGGTCAGGGTTCTTAAACCTGCTTATTTTATTCGGGAGGAAAGAAAAATGCATCATCTTGTCAGTCAGGATGATTTTCAACTCCCTCTCAGATAAGGTGAGTGGGTCGCACGATAACACAATTATCTTGTTCTTGAATCTGCAAGGTTTCCTTTTTAAAATTGACTTCTGGGTTGCACTGCCCCCAAGCTGTCGATGACTTCAGGCCTTTCCATAAATACTATCTTCCTGGACTGTGATGAGACAGCACAAAATCTTAAGTAGAGTTGGAACCACTGATCTTACCCCAAGTCAGGTAGTTAGGAAGGACATCGTCATGTGCCCTCCACCCCCCACAAGATGGACAGGGGAGGTGAAGCTGGTCAGCACTCAGGCCACCAATGGGACAGGCTCTCGGGACAGCAAACTCAGTGCTGCTAGAGGGGAGAAGGGGAAGAAGGAAGTCTACCTCGCAAAACCGACAGGGGGACGAAATGAAGGATTTTTCTATTTCATCACATTTAGGATCTGATTATAGTAACAGCTGAATGTTTGTCAAGCATTCCACATGCCAAGCTCCGTGCTCAGTGCCGCACAAATGCAACATGTGTTAAATACACACAATTCATGATGCCATCCAAAAGTACAACCTTGGTTTCTGTCTCCTACATTCCTTTAATGTTTAATTGGTGGGGGTGCTCCCTCTGCCCTGTCCCAGGGCCTCAATCTTAGGACACAGACAGTCTCAGGATCACAGTTTCAAAACAATAATTAAAATCAACCTGGCTGAATGGTAGGACCCTGGGATCATGATCTGAGCTGAAGGCAGACGCTTAACCGACTGAGCCACCCAGATGCCCCTGCATCTCTTCTAAAGACTCATGTCCTCTGCAGCCCCGAGCAATCCAGGGGCAAGGCTATCATGTACTGCTACTGAAATCCAGCCCACTCTGATCTCCAAGCTGAGGACCCACAGGGCAGGTTTATTAATTATGCTTTTATTTTCTGTATTTTACGACGCTTTGGCATCTGGGGTCCTTACTGATCCTGCAGAGACTGCCCCTCCCAGGGCTGGCTGAGTCTGGTCATAGTAAACAACTTGCCCGAGAGCATGCCTTCTACACACAAACCAACCGTAGTCCACACCCCCAGTGACCTCCTTTATCCGACTGTCACACATAAGCCAATATTCCTTCCTCCCTAAGTTCCCTGAAGGTCAGGTATTAGACAGCTAGATGGTCCCTACAGCCCAGAGCCAGGCTGAAATCATTCAAACTATGCAGTCCTAAACTTGTTCAAGTTTGTCTCCCTGCCTTGCCCATTCCTGATGCAGAACCAAAATAAAGGCTCTAGGCCTTATTTTCCCCCTCCCTCCTTCCACTTCCTCAGGGACCCTGGTGCTTGCTCCCGTGGCCCTGCATGGCGTGGCATCGGCCTTGTGCTTGTGAACTGTGAATAATGAACCCTTCTTTCGAAAGCAGTGTCTCCACGTCTGTAACTTCAGCATACCTGATTGAAGCCAAGCCCAGGTACATTTCAG